TTACTATTTTATTATTTTTAGTATCTTATTTCTCATTATATCATTTAATGTGTGTTGTTTTGCATGTGTGCTTGTTGCTCTTGCTGTGTGTGTGTGTGTTTGTGTGTTATTGTTGTTATTGTGTGTTCGTTCGTTTGTCTGTGTGTTGTTGCTCTGTTGTGTCTGTGGTTGTGTTATGTGCTTGTTGGTTGTGTATATTTGCTTGTGTTCTGTTTTGTGTAGTGTCTATTGCTTATCTTAGTGGTTGTTTATATGTTCGTCTTGTATTGTATCTTATGTTGATTTGATGTTGTGTCTTTAGTGTAAGTGTTGGTGATGTGTGTGCTGTGTGTGTTTGTGTTGATTTGTGCAAGTGTCTATGTATCTTAGTGCATATTATATTATTTCATCAATTATACATTTTCTATTTTATCTTATATTATATCTTTATATTTCTATATATAATTATTATTATTTTTATACTTCTATTATATATTTATAAGGTATCTTATTATCTATATTTCTAATATTAAACTTGTGTGTAATGTGTGTGTAGTGATTGATATTAGTTGTTTAGTGTGTGTTGAATGTCGCGTGTTGTATGTTTATATCTAGTGTTGTGTGTGTGTTGTGTGTGTTTCTGCATAGTTATATAATATATTCACGGCATTCTACATCTTATATATATATTATTATATTTATATTGTTATATTATTATTATATATTATATTATATATGTTAGGGTATATTATTATACTTATTTGTAGGTCTATATTTAATAAATATTATGTGTGTTGTTTAGTAGTAATAGTATTGGTGTTGGTATGATGGGTATATGTGTGTGTGTGTTGTGTTGTGTGTGTTCTTTGTGTGTAGTGTGTATTGTGTGTTTTGTGATTAGTGTTGTAGTGTGTTTAGCTAGTGTGCCGTGTTAGTATGTGCTAATTAGTGTAAATATTCATATATATGCGTGTTAGTGTAATGTTTATTTTGTGAATATAAGTTGCGTATGTGTAGATTAAATATCAAATATTATATATTTATGTATTATACCTAATTTGTTTATATAATATTAAGTTGTAGTATATATAAGTATATTATATTAATAGGGTATATATTAATATAGTATATATGTTATTATAGGTATAATAATATATGGTTGATATATATTGTATATTATATAGGTTAATTAATTAGTATATATACTATTATTATGTAATATTATTAATTAATTTATTATACTTTACTATAAATAATGTATATAACTTATGATTCTATACTCATGTGTTATTGAGTATATGTAATATAAATTACTACATGGTTATGTATGTTTTATAATATTTATATATATCATTAACATATCATATATATATATTATTATATACTAGGTAGATATATATTGATATTATAGACATATTATATTATAATATATATATATTATATATATTTTATATTATTAGTAGTATATAATTTGTTTATCTATATATTATATTATTAATTATATATTATTACTTTCTAATCTATTATATTATATATATATTTATTAATACAATTTTTATATATATAACTTTACGTGGGTGATTATGTTGTGCATGTGTACTTGCTGTGTGTGCCTATGAGATATTATATATTAATTATATGTTCTCTCTCTCTTTTTTTTCTTTCTTTTTTCTCTTCTCTTTTTTTTTCTCTTATTGTCTTTCTTTCTTTTTGTTTTCTTACTTTTGTTTTTTTTTTTTTTCTTTTCTTTATATCTCTTGTATTCGTGTTTTTTATGCATGTATGGATTATTAGGTGGACTGTTATCATAGTTATATGTTGTGTGCTGTGTCGTGTGTGTGTCGTGTGTGTGTGTTGTGTGTGTGTGTGTGTGTGTGTGTGTGTGTGTGTGTGTGATGCACAGACATCCAGACCGACAGCAGGGCCCTACGCTGCTGCCACACCATGTGCGTGCTCCCTTTTTCTCGAGTTCAATGGTATTGCACAAATGATTGGTGAGCATTCAGGAAACATTACCTGAGTGGTCCACAAACGGATTTAATTCGATGACATTGTCTCTTGCGTAGAAATAAAGCACTGGAAGCTCAATAACTTCCATATTTAAAACGATTAAATTTCCTTGGAACAACTTCCGTTTCATAGGGATGGCAGTTACGGTATTGGACTGAATATAGATTTGTCTGAAAATATCGTTTCATAAATAAATCAGCATCGCCAACCAGTCTTCATGTTATAAAGAAACTTGATTTGTAAATCTGATAGTTTTGTATAAAATGCTTATTTTCAGCTGGCAGATTGAAGACCTTGCCGGTATCATCGATCAGGGATGAATACATTTGTCATCTTCGCAATACGCAAAACTTCAACTGCCATCTGAATTCTAATCCGTATGAAGGAAATAGTTTAAAATAAAGGAAAGCCAAGGGAGTTAAAGCATATGCATTCATGTGCAGCACCAAAGGGCAATTTAGCGAGTGGTTTCCCCGAGCGCCATGACCAACCACGAGGAGACAGACATTGGCCTCCCTGACGATTGCCTTTATTGTCTCTCTCTTTAAAGGCGGCGAAAGCTGTGCCGGGCGAGCACCGGGACGAACCCTCGACATTTGAATAAATCATATCTAGGAGGAACTTTCCCTCTGACCCTCATTTCTCTCTAACTCCCTGTAAATATGAAGCCTTGCAAGCAAATATTCTCTCATTCATATTAATGAGGTAGGCTGAGTGCGGGCGAGGGCGGGGGGAGCGAGGGGAGCGAGGGCCGGGCGAGAGCCGCGTCTTTTTATGGAATCAATAACGTATACGGGAATGGCGCCGCGATGGCCGCCGCCGCCGCCCCGGGAATCACGCCGCGCGTAAACTCTTCTGAAAACCTGCTTAACTTTTCATGACGATTTTCTTCTTCTTCTGTTCGATTGGAAATAATTTTTCGAGGTGAATTCGGATTAATTTGCTCATGTTTAGGTCCTGTCTTCACGGTGGTTTAAGAAATGAATTAATTCCCAGTCTTATATCATTGGAACAAAACGGGAACTGCGGGTAGGAAGATCGGGGGTAAGAACTATTTATTACTTTGTTTATTAATAACTAACAATTAAATCTAGACTTAAGTTAAGCAGGTATTCGACAATGGGAAACCACCTGGAATATACCAAAGTGCCGAAATCCCTCGGTAGTGCCCGAAAGTAGGAGGAATGGCCGTGTTTTTATCTGGGACGGGATGAGTTACGGCGCCGAGGCTTCCGCTCCCACTTGCGGAACGGCGAACGGCGAACGGCGGCGGCGGCGGCGGCGCTGGGAATTACGGCGGCCAGAGGGACGCGGCTTTCCTCTTTCCTCTTGCTTTCCTCTTGGCTTACTTTTCTTTCCTTGCCACTCCCTTCTCTCCTATGCTGGGTCTTATGGGGTCAGTTAGCTTCGGGTTTTGACATTTACGGATATTCGTTTTGTTTTTTGGTCTTTTTTTTGTTTCATGTAGCTGTATGCAAACTTCGCTTCCTTTTGTATCTCGTTGTGTGTTAACTTTCATGCTCTAGACTGTGATGGATCCAGAGTAGGTGTTTCTCGTTCATTTCAAGTGCTTCTCTGTGCTTTTAGAATAGGTCTTTGATAAATAAACTTAGAAGAAATATTTGTTACAGTAGGAATTGCCAATGCAGTTGTAGCTTGGGGTCTCTTTGTTAATGAAATTAGCTGTCAAGTCATTGTGCTGTCAGTCAAAGTGTAAGTTTGTTTTATCTAATAGGTTTATAGCATTTTATTGAATAGGTGCTTTTCCATTCATATGTCTGTAAATGTTGACATGATTTTCAAAATGGCAGTTTAGCAATGGTCCTGGGATATCTCACAGGAAGTTTACTGTTGCATCAGTGGAAGTTTCTTGTGTAATTTTAGCAACATGATGTTATCTTCCAATCATGTATTCTGTGTCATTTGATATTGTCAGAATGAATTTTCTTTAGTTCTTTATTATATTTGCTTTTATGGAAGTATTATCCAATGCTGGTATTTATGATGATATTGATAACTGAAGTTAGAAGAAATGTAAATCATGTCACTTGATATAAATACATTGGTTTTATTTATATTTACAAAATAACATTTATGAATGATTTCAGCTTTGAAATAGCAGGGTTTAATTTAAAGAAAAAGTGATATCTGCCCTTGCTTTTGCCAATGTTATCTTTAACTTCTGACTTGAATATTGATATCTGTAAGGGCCCAAATATCTGCAAAACACCTGCAATCAGGCAAATGTATAGAAATTGCCACATGATCCTTTAAGTAGGAAATACTAAAGTCAAAGCAGTTGTTACACTATTTTTATTCATAGCTTTAGGTATATAGATGTGTTAAACATTCTGATATCTACTAGAATATTCAGACACTTGAATTGATCCTTTAATTAAACTTCACAAACAACATTAACAAGGGAAATCAAAAGCTTTAGAAGTACATTACTTGATGTTTGCGGTGTTTGTTTTAGGTTTTAGTGTAGCTGTCTACATGCTAGTGGTAACTGGGACTATTGCCTTGGAATTTATGGAGAGAGAAGTCAGTATAGTTTTTCCCTGCATTAGGATACCCCCTCCCCCTCACAAATAATAATTGAAATATATTTAAAAAAAATTTAATTGCTAAGCATGTATTTTGGCCTCTAGTCAATAGGAAGTTGTAATGAACCTCTGTATTGCTATTTAGTTTAGAATTGGTATTAAGCTTGTTTTATAAGTGCTGTTCTATGAATAACATATACATTCCAGGAATAGAAACATAAAGTTTATTGGACATATAAAAACTTGTGCAAAAGTAATATCTGTACAGTGATATTATATGTATTTGTAAGTGACACCCTTTAAGGAGATTATAAATATAATTTTGTTTTTTCTTTCTTTTTTCAAACAGGAGCGCGATGGAGGACTCTAGTGCGATGACAGCCAACGCACAGGAGTTCTGCCTTCGCTGGAACAACTTTCACTCCAGCCTTGTCACAGCGCTGGATGGTTTCAAAAATGACCAAGATTTTGTAGATGTAACGTTAGCCTGTGAAGGACAGTTCCTCAAAGCTCACAAAATGCTGCTGTCAGCATGTTCAGTTTTCTTCAGAGATCTCTTAAAGGTAAGATTTTATTTTACTTTTTAATACTTTACATCTACTGTTTATATTTGTGTGTAATGTTCTACTCTCTGGTCTTGAAACCAATGTAGTACTGCTGGTGTTTAAATTTATATTGGCTGTTCAGCATCAAATATAAAATTTTGTATAGTATATATATATATATATATTTCTGTTTAAGTGTGTGTGTGGTCTCAGTATAGTAAGCAAGTGGCTTCTGCCAGGACTAAAGGGTAAGACTAAGTACCCGCAAATACAATAACCATATCCCTAATATAATTGACAAGGCAGAACATAGATCAATGGGTTTTAATCTGAAGGTATTAGGATATTATCAAAGTGTACTAACTTTGCATTGAGTTTGAGGTGCTCATGGAAAATGACAACCTATCATGGGGAAGGGCAAGAAAACACATGAATATGCCGAAGGCCTTTTCACTATTGCTTCATCAGTGCATGCCCTGACGAAGCAATAGTGAAAAGGCCTTCGGCATTTTCTTGTGTTTTCTTGCCCTTCTCTTCGTTGTTCCTGTTGCAATCTGTTCAACATGAATTCCACACAACCTATCATGTTGTGGCAAAAACTTAATTTACACCAGATAACATCTATTCCAGTATGTCATTCAATTCACACCAGATAACATCTATTCCAGTATGTTCATTCAAGCTGGCTCTAAGTTTTGAAGTGAAGTGTTTTTAGTATCTTTTATCTTATTGTTGTCATTGATTGTCATTGAGGAAAAAAAAAACTCATTTAAAGCTATATATCACATTGGCAATTTTTTTTACTCTCATGGTTGTTTATCATTAACCTGCTGGATCTTGGTACCTAATGGCCTGCATTTGCAACAAAATCGGAGCCTTTGGCATACTTGAGTGGTGACTCAAATGTACGGCTTGAAGGCCACTTTTATGTAGTATGAAGACACCTTGCCTCCGTATTGCAATATGATTATCTCTTTTTCTGCTTAAGCATACATCATACAGCCATGCTATCTAACCTGTTACCCACATTTCAACAGAAATAGAAAATCTGAAAATAGACTTATCAATAACATGTGCCTCAGGTAGTGTATTCAGAGACATACACGAGAAGTAATTATAGATTGGTGAAAACTAAAGTGAGGAGAAGCAAATACAATAACTGAAATTGAGCAAAATCAAATTAATTGTGCATCATGACACACGCTAGTCAGCTGTATGATTATACCCTTTGCAAAACAAAGGTCCTTACTGATTTCATCCATTATTGTTTTTTAAACTTTCTCCTCTCATGATCTTTGTGGCTGGTATCCCATAATTGTTCTCTGGCTCTCACTTAATCCACTAGGGAGTAATTAATTTCCAAAGTGAGCTCCATGTTCTGTACATGTTTGTAATCATTGATTAAATGCACATTTGTTTTGATAATCTTTGAAATTTAATGTTAGTAATTATACCTAATATTATATGGTAATCACGATTCAGATGGTTGTGTAAGAAGCTCCCTATTAACTTTTTTAGACTGTTTGGAGCATCATCTTTCCCCCTGTAGCCGGGGCAAAACGCCAACAAAGTGGAACTGCGTCCTGACAGACTGCTTTCGTTTAAACATTTTTTTGTATTCAATTTTCTTGAAGGTCTTTTTTCAATTATGACCATTCATTCCTGTCATACATGCCTGCAGCCAAATTTTTCATGTTAGCACATTTCTGCAACCCTGTCCTTGGCCAATCTGTTTTAAGGAGGTGACACTCCTGTCACCCAGGTCCAACAGGTTAAGAACATTTGCAGTTTCTGTGGACCTCTTGTGATCCAAACTGAGCAGTATGTGGAGCTGCAGGTTGTATGTCATGGCTGCTACAGGTACCTCCCCCCTAGTGACCTATGAGTCGTATGCTCTGACATGTCACTTTGGGGTCACCAGTGTAGGTAATGAGGTACATCTACCACTTGAATTGGTCATTTTCTCTCTTAGGAGAAGTCGACTTGGTGTGAGTGCCGACTGTATTGCTGGGTGTTTTAGGTGATTTGTAGATAAATGTGGGAGACAGAGATGCTCCCCAGTTGGTAGAAGACTAGGTAGTCCTTGTGTTTCTGCTGCTTGCTAGCTGAGGTGCAACTGGAGGATTTGGAGTTGCTGATCTCAGTTCCAGATCCCGAAGCTTAAATATTCGGGAGCTGTCTTAGTGAACCAGGAACAAGGGGATCCTGTAGTTAGAGAGCTGTAAAGTGACCATTTTGACCAGTCAGGTCTCAGCAGTGAATCACTGAAATACCTGCTGGTAAGTGAGTGAGGACAAGGCTGTGGACCTGACATGACCCAACCAATGAAAGAGCTGCAAGTTGTCCATGTTGACCACCGGCTGACAAGAGTGGTGACAAGTGATGAGTGATGACAAGGCTGTTGTCCTGGTGTGACCCAACCTGAGCAGTATGCTGAGCTGCAGGTTATGGGTTCGTGGCTGTATCATGTTTCCTGCTTATTGTCTTCTTGTTGAATTACTATTGCTACCCTTTTCAAAAGTCTGCAGTCATTAGGCCACTGCTTTAACGTCGGTGACCCCCTTTTTGATTGTGTTCAAAATTTTGCTGCTACTGATAATCTGATTCATAATGGAAGTACCCAAGTATCTTTTTGTTTAGTATCAACCATAAACTCTCTCATGTTTGTATTAGGCTCAGTTTTAGTAAATCATATATGTATGTGAGGTCATGTTACATTTTTATAGGAATATATAATCAGAAATATTTTTAAGGTATCATCTTAACATTAATCCATTGGGTTCAAATAATGTGAGGGCTGAGTGAAAGAAATATACTGTTATGGAAAATTGAGGGCCAGGGTGAAGGGAATGAGCTATCTTTATAAAATTCAGCTGAAGCTAGGGTTATGAGACTTACTTGCCATGAAGGCACAGAGCACTTAAAGAAAGATTAGGTTCCAATGGTATTTAAGTAGGGGCTCTTCCATGCTCGGTACCTTATTCCAGTGTACTGTGACAGGCAACACAGGACGTGGTACTGAAAGGTGAATAATACAAAAATATTCTAGATTTACACAAATAACAAAAAGTTACTGTTATTTTTACTACACAGTTTTAGACCACATTGAGAGCTGGTATGGAATCCATTCAAGATAACAGTCTATGGCCATCTTGATACAGCATATTAGATTACAAATGCAGACCTTGGAAAATGGCAAAAAAACAAAAAGTGCATATGAGAAAGAGAAAACATTGTAAAAGGGGAAGTATGGAGTCATGACAATGCACACAATTGACAATGTAATAGCAATAACAAGAAGTAACGTGTTGTTACTTAAGGGGACCATCTCTCTCTCTCTCACTCTCTCTCTCTCTCTCTCTCTCTCTCTCTCTCTCTCTCTCTCTCTCTCTCTCTCTCTCTCTCTCTCTCTCTCTCTCTCTCTCTTTCTCTCTCTCTCTCTCTCTCTCTCTTTCTCTCTCTCTCTTTCTCTCTCTCTCTCTCTCTTTCTCTCTCTCTCTCTCTCTCTCTCTCTCTCTCTCTCTCTCTCTCTCTCTCTCTCTCTCTCTCTCTCTCTCTCTCTCTCTCTCTCTCTCTCTTCTCTCTCTCTCTCTCTCTCTCTCTCTCTCTCTCTCTCTCTCTCTCTCTCTCTCTCTCTCTCTCTCTCTCTCTCAATGATGAAACTCATACCCATTGCCTGTGGTAAATTTTTTTCGAAATCGGCCGAACAGTTTTTTGAATTATTGTATATATATTTATTTTTTATTTTTATATTTATTATATATATATATATATATATATATATTTTTTTTTTTTTTTTTTTTTTTTATGCAGTCTCTGGGGAAAAGGATTCCGACTTCAGAAACAATAAGACATTCAGTTTTACTTGATTTTTTGTTAGAACTATTCAATAGCTACAGATTTTTTGTTAGAACTCCATCCAATGAGCCAGTGGCACGGGAATGGGCATGACACAATGCCACTTGTCTTTCGGTCCACAACAGCCTTGGCATGTACGTATATGCCACCCGTCAGCTAGGCGTTAACAAAAGGTATAAGATTAGTCTTCTTACACCATAATCCTCTATCATCTACCTGCATTCAGAAGTCATCCGAATATTGCCAGCACATAATAGTTTCTCAAAATCTTATGTATAGTGTAGAGTGGTGGCAGTGATCTGGGGCGTCTATAGGCTTACATCTAACTTTTTTAAAAAATTCTAAAAAAAAAAAAAATAAATAAATAAAAAATCATAGTCATTCTGATTACATGTCTGAATAGAACAATCCTTCTATTATATTATGCAGAAACCATTTTTGAGAAGTCGCCCTTACTTTGTTTTTAGGTGAATATTTTCCGAAGGTGATATGTTCAAATCAGACTGAAAATATGTGTGCTTTGTGTAAAAATGTGAAGGACCTAATAATTGCGGGCATCATACGCGTCCTTTTTTCAGTGCGGCCAGGCATCACAGTATTATGACTAAAGTTTCTTTGCATCTGCGGATCACTGTTGTTTAACTCTACCGTGCCACGTGGCCAATTTTCTCACTCAGACTCCCATGAAAAGACGAAATACTATTACAAGGCGATGTAAAAGTATCTATATAAGGTATTTAAGTACATGTAGATCATTTTTGTGTGCCACATGACCTTTTGTTTAGTTATATTGTTGCTTTTCTTTGTTTCTTTGTTGTTGTTTTTTGTGTTTTCTGATATTTCTAAAAGTTAATAATGAGTTATTAACCAAAGGTGCATTTTAACTTAACTTAGATGCTTATTGCGCATAGTTGGTGATGCGGACCATGGTTTGGATCCAGGATTCTTTTTATTTTATTTCATTTTTATTTATTTACTTATTTTTTTTTTTTCAAATTTGAAAAGTTATGAACAGATTTTAATAGAAAATTTAACTGAGGTTTATGGTAGCCTAATTGATAA